TCTATTATTTGTTTACTTATTATGTTTATTTATGATTTATTTTTTATCTAATTATTTTATTTATTTATTTTTATCTATTTTATTTATTCAATTAATCTTTATTGATTGATTGATTGATTTGTCTTTATTCATTCATTTATTTTATCTATTTTATTTATTTGGAGGTAGTTTAGAGGTTGTTTACGGCGGTGGATCTAAAACGTTTTCCTCTTTCCATGAAGGATAGATAGAGACCAAATTAGGGCAGGGCTTAAGAGGAATCGATAGCACTGTCCTGCTCTCTTTGGTTGTGCTCATTTCGATGTCATTGACGGTGACAGCTCGGGAATTCCCCCCCTGCACGTCGGGAAACACGAAATCGGACCTTGTGCCGTCACGTTCTCCTCCACGAGTCCCTCCCCACTCCCCGTGTTTCGCAGGTGCGGGTGATCCTCCAGGGGAGCCCCGAGTACCAGGTGGTGGACGACCCTACTACCGGAGGGGCGAGCAACGAGAGGGCGTCCTGCCTGGCGCCGCAGGACAAGGCGGTGCACACGATCAAGGTCCGGACGATGGCGCTCGGGGACGTCAACCTCACGGTGTCGGCGGCCGTGGACTCGTCGCTGGCGGGAGGGTGCGGCGGGGCGGCGGCGGCGGCTGTTTCGAGGAGGTAAGTGGAGGGGAGGGGGGAGAGAGGGAGAGAGGGAGAGGGAGGGAGGAGGGAGGGAGAGGGAGAGGGATGGAGGTAAGTGGAGGGAGAGAGAGAGAGAGGGAGAGGAGTGGGAGGGAGAGAGAGGGAGAGGGAGAGGGATGGAGGGAGAGGGAGAGGGATGGAGGGAGAGGGAGAGGGATGGAGGGAGAGGGGAGGGAGGGATGGAGGGAGAGGGAGAGGGAGGAGGGAGAGGGAGATGGATGGAGAGGGAGAGGGATGGAGGGGAGGGAGGGAGGGGAGAGGGAGGGAGGGAGAGGAGGGAGAGAGGGAGGATGATGGAGGGAGAGGGAGGGAGATGGAGTGGAGGGAGAGGAGAGAGGGGGAGAGGGAGAGATGGAGGGAGAGGGAGAGATGGAGGGAGAGGATGGAGGGAGAGGGATGGAGGGAGGGAGGAGGGAGGGATGGAGGGATGAGGGATGGAGGGAGAGGGATGAGGAGAGGAGTGGGAGAGAGAGGGAGAGAGAGAGAGAGAGAGAGGGAGAGAGAGAGAGAGAGAGAGAGAGAGAGAAGAGAGAGAAGAGGATGGAGTTTTTTTTTCTCGATGGCTTGGCTTATTTGGGATTTCCAGTGAAGGTGCTGCTCAGTATTATCACCGGAGCCATTATTTTCACCTCCGACGTCGTCTTCACTTCATTGTCCTCATCCTCCTCACTCTGTCTTCATCCTTATCGGCCTTCCTCATCATCACCGCCTCAGCCAGCACCACCAACCACGCCCCTCTCACCGCCCCACTCCTCACTCTGTGAGAGGTTTGTCGAGGTTCCCTACCCATTCTAGTGCCTACCAATACCCGCAACAGGTAACAGACCGCTCGGCCGACAACAATCGTCTATCTGACGTCCCTCAACCGACACCATCATGAGCGAGTTTCATCAACGCCAACCGACGCCCCTCACCCACCACTATGCAATGACCTTGGCGCCACCGATGGAGCTTGGTGAGTCGGGCCCCCTCTCTAGGAGCGTGACCACCGAAGGTTATAGTTTAACCTCCACAGAGGGATCCGAATATTTACCCCAGGGACGCCTGGACCCGCTTCCTTTTAGGGGCAGAGATGCACATCACACACGCGTCGTGCACCGTGCGAACGGCTGACGTAACAGACGCCTTCCATCCCATGTCTCCTCCCTCACGCACCATCACCATCCCACCACCGTCACCCACGCCCCTCACCACCACCACCATCACCACCACCACCATACACCACGCACCCCACCACCACCAACGCCCCTCACCAACAGACGCCCATTGCAGGGACACCTTGATCAAGCCCATCAAGGTGGAGGCAGAGGGATTTCCCCGCGAGGAGACGTGGACCAAGTACCTCTGCGCTGAAGGTGGGGTCACTTCGTCACTTCATTCATTTCATTATTAACTGACCTTTTACGTGGTGAACCGTATTCATGTTGACAAAAGTAGAAAAAAGGGTATGAATGAGAATGAACATCTTACACAATACGAGAGATGTATTTTGACCGGTTTCGATTTTTATCTTCGTCGGAAATAGATGGAAATACGTGATTGTAATTCTGATGAAGATGTAATCGAAACCGGGAAAATACATCTCTTGTATTGTGAAGACGTTCATTCTCATTCATAGCTTTTCTACTTTTACGTGTTGTTATTGTTCATTGATACGGGGATGGTAATGATGAAATAAATGATAAAATGACCATGATTGATGGGGTTAATTATGGTGACAATGGTTTAGATATTATGATATATTTTTTGTGGTAGAGGTTGTGGCGATAAGAATGACAGTTTCATGAAAATACAACAAGCTCATAAATACAACAAGTTCAAATACAACAAGCTCAAATACAACAAGCTCACATACAACAAGCTCAAATACAACAAGCTCATCATACACCGTTCTTTTATCTTTAAAAATCACGTCTCAAGTTCATTGTCAAAAAGAAAAAAAAAATCTCAATAATGAAATTAAAATACAATTCCTTCTCCCTTCTCCTCCCCATACACCCCCACCCTACCCATCCCCGCCCACGCAGAGGTGGCATCAGGCGAGGACGCTCCGGAGACGTGGGAAGTAGTGCCACCTGCCAACATAGTGCCAGACTCCGCCCGCGGTTGGGTCACTGCCGTCGGGGACCTGTTGGCACTCTCGATCGAGGTAAGGCTCAGTGAGAGAGAGAGAGAGAGAGAGAGAGAGAGAGAGAGAGAGAGAGAGAGGAGAGAGAGAGAGAGAGAGAGAGAGAGAGAGAGAGAGAGAGAGAGAGAGAGAGAGAGAGAGAGAGAGAAGCTTTTTGTTTCAAGGAGGGAGTGGAGAATGAGGAGTGTTTATTATTATTGTCATTATCAATATCATTATCATTTTTATTATCATTATCAATATGATAATAATTATCAATATTATTAATATTATTATGATTATCAATGTTATTATCATTATTATTATCATTATCGAATATTATCCCCATTATCAATATTAATATTATTACTATATTACTATATTACTATTAGTATTGTTATTATTGTCATCATTATTATAATTGTTAATATCATTACTATTATTATTATTATCATTATTATCATTATCATTATTGTTATTGTTCAGCTTATTATTATTATTATTATTATTATTATTATTATTAATTATTATTATTTTATTATCATCATCATCATCATTATCATTATTTATAATTACTATCATTATGTTAATTATTGTTACTATTATATGTATATTATAATGTATATATATATATATATATATAAATATATATATATATATTATATATATTATATATATATATATATATATATATATGTATATGTATATACATGTATACATATATATATATATATATATATATATATATATATATATAATATATATACATATATATATATTATATATATAATATATATATATATATATATAATATAATATATATATATATACCCAACAAGCACAAACAGCCACACCCCCCTCCCCTCCCCGCAGAACCTGGGCTCCCTTATCCGCCATCCATCCGGCTGCGGAGAACAGAACATGGTCAATTTCGCTCCCAACATCTACATTATGCAGTACTTGACGGCGACGAACCAAGCCACGCCGGAGAACACCCAGAAGCTGCTGAGATTCATGAGGACAGGTGAGAGTCTCTTGTACAAGTGAGTTGGGTGGGTTGGAGAGGCAGGTTTCTTGTACAAGTTGGGTGGGTTGGAGAGGCAGGTTTCTTGTACAAGAAAGTTAGGTGGGTTGGAGAGGCAGGTTTCTTGTACAAGTTGGGTGGGTTGGAGAGGCAGGTTTCTTGTACAAGTAAGTTGGGCGGGTTGGAGAGGCAGGTTTACAGTAAGTTGGGCGGGTTGGAGAGGCAGGTTTCTTGTACAAGTAAGTTGGGCGGGTTTCCTTGTACAAGATTACTTGTACAAGTAAGTTTTCATGCATGAAGGTGAATTGTTGAGGATTATTATTATTTTATTTATTTTTTATAATTTGATTTTGTTTATATTTTTTTAGTGTGTGTATGCAAAGACGAGTTTCTTATATAGGTAGGTTGATTGTACTAATAGGTTATTTGGACAGGTGAGTTATACGAATAGTTAGTATTCTTAAACAGACAGGTTACTTAGGCTGGTTATATACGTGTGGTTGTTTTAACGAATCCTAGAGGTATGCCGTTTCCACACACTAGTTGATTGCTTGTTTAGGCGAGTTGTTTGCTCTGCGTGGAAGTCTTATCCAAAATATATAATAATACTTTTCAATAGCAATTATCCGTAATAATTAACAAATATATGTTTAGGTTACTTTCTATTTCGGGACGGTGAGGTGAAGGGAACTTTTGAAGTGAAATATGATTATTATTCAAAAACGGGTATCAGTTTAGATATACAATAAATAAATAGATGGGTGATTGATCGATATAAAAAGAGAGAAAGCAAGAGAAATGTATCTTTATCTAGCTTTGATTAATTCCTTCTGTAAATTCATCTTTATAGATATATAATGAAGAAACACGAGGTAAACAAATAAGAAAGGAATGGTAGAACAGAATGTGACTTGCTTATAAAAACCTACTGGAAAGAAGGGTAAGGGGGGGGGCTATTAGGCAGAAAATATATCTTTAAATGAATTAGAAGCAAAACAAATAAACACGAGGAATAGTTAAGGAAAGGGATAAAGACGAGAGGTTTCTTCCCGCGCAGGATACCAACGCGAGCTGCTGTACCGACGCAACGACAGCTCCTACAGCGCCTTCGGGAATGCCGATGACTCCGGCTCCACGTGGCTCACGGCCTTCGTCCTCAAGTCCTTCGCGCAGGCCCGGAGGTTCATCTCGGTGAGTGCCACTCCTCGGGGCGCTCTGCGAGGGGGGGGGGAGGAGGAGGGGATTCGAGAGGCTTCGAGTCTGAGCTCCCGAAACCCCCTTCGTTGCCCGGCAGAGGTTTGGGTTCGTTTGCGCGTCCAGATTGCATCGTGGGTTATTTCGTTGTATTCTTTATATATATATATATATATATATATATATATATAATAGATAGATTAGATAGATAGATAGATTTTTTTCTTTTTTTTCTTTCTTTTTTTTCTTTTCTTTTCTTTCCTTTAACACGTATTATCTTAAAAGTAAATATGGAAAATGTACCTTCAACACGAAACCTTTAATCGTCCTCCTCATCAAATGTTTATATTTTTTCACGTAATCGCATTATCTTAAAGAGTAAATATGTTAACGCATTTGCTTCCTCCCGAAACCTTTAACCGGCCACCTCATCGAACGCGAAATGGCCGACAGGTGGACACGGAGAGCCTCGACCGGACGCGCCACTGGCTGAGCCTCTCCACCCGAGACCCGAGGGGCTGCATCGACCCCCGAGGGAAGATCTTCAGCAAAGGGCTTACGGTAAGGGAGCTGGTCTGCGTTCACTCTGCGTTCACTCTGTGTTCACTCTGCGTTCACTCTGCGTGTGTTCACTCTGACTCTGACTCTGTGAGCGTGCAGTGATGCGGCAGTTGCTGAGGTTTTACATTGTGGGTTTTGTGTCGTGCAAGTGTACGAGTGTGCTGTGTGTATATATATATATATTTCTTATATTGTCTTGTGGTTGTTACATATATGATACTTCCGTGGGTGTTCTGCGGGAGTAATGCTTTGGTGTTGTATTTTGGTGCATGTTTAATCTTGTGCTGTGTTTTGGATGCGGAGTTTGTTTTATACGAGTGGTTGTATAATAAGAGTAAGCCTTCAGTTATGGTGTTTGATGTACGTAACTGCAAGTTAAAGTAATACCTGCGCCATCTGCCGCCCAAGGGCCCGAGCCTTCCACATTCTCAGGAGCCCGTCTTTGCCCTCCTCCTGCAGGGCGGTCTCGCGGGCCGCAGCTCCACCGTCCCGCTGACCGCCTACGTGCTCACCGCCCTCCTCGAGGCCGGCGTCCCCATCAACACGCCCATCGTGATGGACGCCGGCCGCTGCGTCCTGGCCGACTCCTCCAACGACATCTACACGCTGGCCCTGAAGGCCTACGCCCTCGCCCTGGCCAAGGACCCCAACGCCCAGCGCGTGATCCAGGACCTGCTGAGCCTGGCCGTCGTCGAGAACAACGCGCTGTACTGGAAGCTGCCCCAGGGTCAGGGTTGCCAACTCTCTTTAGATATATTCTTATTCGCTTTTCACCTTTCTTAGAGACCTTTAATCACAAAATACAAAAATGGAATTTTGGGAACAAGCCTATTGCAAATTAACCACAAGAACACTACATATGGGCCATTAGAACGTCACAAAGGAGGATATTTTATTAGAAAGTAAGCGTGGAAATGAAATGGTCACAGACACGAAATCCATTCCTTGCACCCTGCTCAACACGCAATCTCCGCAACAGGCAGCAGCAACGCCCTGGAGGTGGAAACGGCGGGCTATGCCATCCTGGCCCTGATGGCGCAGGACCCGCTGGCCAACACCCTCCAGGCCAGGAAGATCGTCAAGTGGATCACCTCGAAGAGGAACGGCCAAGGAGGCTTCTACTCCACGCAGGTTAGAAGCCAACATGCCTTTAAAGCTTCTTACCAATATCATAAAGTTCTTTATCTTATGCTACAATGATCCAACAGCTGGCAGTACGTCCGTGTACAACATCGAATAACGGCTCATTCCTTCACAGGATACAGTAGTGGCTCTGCAGGCCATGGCCAGCTACGAGACCCACACGTTCCAGGGCCCATTGAACGTCGTGGCCACAGTCACGGCCACGGACCTGTCGCATTCCTTCACGCTGACCGAACAGAACAAGCTCCTGCAGCAGCTGGTGACGCTCCCGAGCTTGCCTACTAGCGTGAGCGTGAACATGGACGGCCAGGGATGCGCCGTGATGCAGGTGAGTCCTGCGCATTCTGAAATAGAAAAAAAACTATTAACTTTACGCTGTATGTTTCATGCACCTGTCATAGGTGAGTAATCAGCCGTAGGCTAATCTTAACGAGCATCTCATCGTAGCAAAGGAAGATGTACACTGTCTGTGCGTTAACTGGCCCCACCATACGTTTATTCCCCGTCTGCAGACGTCGTAAGTAAAACCCGATTTCATTCTCTCGCCCACAGGCGGTTCTCCGCTACAACGTGCCCGAGGCCGAGCCGAGCGATGCCTTCAGCCTGCGCGTGCGTCCCATCAACGACCCGCGCGGCGGCTGCGTCGAAAAGCGCCTCGAAGCCTGTGCTGCCTACCTCCTCCCCGACGGCAAGTCTAACATGGCCGTCATCGAGGTCAACCTCGTGTCCGGCTTCATCCCCGAGAAGGACGACCTAAAGGCGGCCGTGAGTCGAAACCCCGAGGTCGTCAAGCGCTACGAGGTGGACGGGAGCAAAGTCACCTTCTACAAGAGGAGTTCACGGCCCAGGAAGTGTGCGTGAGTTTCCGCGTCGTCCGAGAGGTGGAAATCGAGGACGTCAAGCCGGGATCTGTGGTCGTCTACGACTACTACCAGCCCGAGTTCTCCATCAGCAAGGTAAGTTAAACTTGTGGTTCCTTAAGTTGGAAGCGTCGTTAAGCTTATGAATTGTGGGACAATACATAGAGTCAGTCATACAAATTGGTAATGAAATATATTTGAAATTTATATTATACGGAAAAATAACAGCTCTTTGAGATCTCCATTCCTATCTCCCTTTCTGTCCCCACGCAGAGTTATAGCTTCCCTTTCTTAGACGGATGCAAAAGGTAAATGAAACATGAAAAAAAAACAAGAAAAACAGATGCCTTACCCAATTCCTCCGTACACCGAATCCTGATATAGATTGTCAGGTGACTTATAGACTGCTTCGTAAAATGGGAACGTGACAGCTGAGCTACAACCAGGGTTTTTTATTATCATTATCATTTCGTCTGTCGTAAAATATTGTTACGAATAAAGCTTTATGTCACAAA